TAATTGGAAAATCCCATTTGTCCGGGTTTGTCCATGGAAAAATCCCAAATCCCAAACGTTTGTGCGGCATGTATAATTGTCGGTGAAACGTATTGTCAGTGAAATGTATCCGTCGGCGAAACGAATTGTCGGTGAAATGTATTGTCAGTGAAATAAACATGTCAGTGAAATGATTGTCGGTGAATCAATTGTCGGTAAAATAAGCTTGTCAGTGAATTGATTGTCAGTGAACCGAGGTGTCGGTGAACTGATTGTCGGTGAAATGAGCGCCACCCAATTTAATGACATGTACTTAGAGAACAATAAGAAAACTGCATTTATGGAGGTTATGTATACATTTGGGCCAGAATCTGTGGGTGCATTTAGAGAGGGTACGCACTTGTAGAGGGTGCATTTAGAGAGGTTTCATTGTACTGAATATTATTAAATTGCCCAGTTAACTGAGTTATTTATTATAGACATGTTTTAACATTTTTAAATTCTTTTTTTTTTTTTTTTTTTGTATTATGATAAATATATCAGAAAAATACATTTTCATTTTCCGATTTCGGAATTTTAAAATAGAACTGTTTTTTTTTTAAAAAAAAATTCCACTTATTTTTCAATTCTGATTTGGGGATTCAGAATTATTGCGGTTTGCAAAAAGGTGTGTCCTATGATTTTTTGTGATGATTATCGAAGGAAATATCTGTAAAATCCTCTTAGAATCGGAAAATTGCCGAGATTTTATAATCTGCAGGGGTCACACCTTTTTGCAAACTGCAATAATGTTCAAGTCTTTGATTTTGAATTAAATTAGTGACATATTTGTTTTGAAATAAGTGATTTATAAAAATCTATTTTTTTTTATAAGATAATATATCATCTGAAAATACACCTATTTCGTTTTCTGATTTCGGAATTTCAAAATATAAATGGAATTTTTAAAATTCCACTTATTTTCAAAATAAGTTAATTCTGAATCACCCTATTGCAACTTATGTCGATTTAGAAACCGATAAAATTTTGATTTTGACGTATAACAAGAATGATATGAAAGTCTAATAGTAAACGTTCGCGAGTAAGCCTTTCGATTAGCTGTGTTATGAAACTTATCACTGAATTTCATTGAAATTAATTGGTGAATACTAACTTGTACAATATGTTTGATTAAATTTGCGCCCTGATCTAGTGCTGATAATACCTATCATTACGTGGTAACATAAGGTTTCACCCTAATCTAGTGAAATTATATATATATTTTGATCTTGCTTACGGCATATTTACTGTATATCTTTCATCAGATCTCCGATTATATGCGTATAAAATTATTTTTAATTAAATATATATAGTATTATTTTTTAAAAAAAAATTATTATAATTTTATTAAATTAATAAATAAAATTAAAGATTTATCGGCTAGTTTTAAAAATGTCATTAATTAAATTACTAAAATAATAATTAGAATTACTTATATTTAAATATAATAAATATTATATATAAAGTATTTGAATAAAAGTTTTTTTCTTTTTTGACCAGTAAATCTATACATACGTACGTACAAGTTTATTTCATTCAATTATAAAGATTTACATTGACAAGCATTTCGAGTAGGTTTAAATAAATAGATGCCTTATTTTTAAACAAAGAAATTATGCCGACTTCCTGCACCGTCTTATTAAAATTATTTCTAAATTAGGAGAATGAAGTTTTAAGCCTTTCTGCATCAATACAGCATCTAAACTGTAATTTATTCAAAGATAAGGCAAAATTATTATTTATAAAGAAAACTATTTACGTATGTTACTTTTTGTGAATGGTAAATTTATCTTTAAAGTGGTACAGTTTTTTGAATTAGTGTGACAAATGAATTTTATGAACTCTACGAACCCTCGTATTATCATTGTTTTTTCACAATGCAGGGTCCATAGAGTTCACATATTCATTTGTCGTACTAATTCGAAAACAGAGATACCTTTCTTTTCTAAAGATTACACAAATAACTATAACTTGTCATGGTTGAATGGGAGAACGACGTGTAATGAATGCGCAGTGTGGATTGAATGATTAAGTGTTTAGTAATTCTATAAGCGCGGCTTAATGATGATATGAACTTAATGAGAAAATCATTATTACTATGCTATTTTATGGTGGAAACGAATCTCTCCTTCTTACTAAAATAAATGCTTCACTTTCTATACATTTGATTAATATGAAAGAGAACACTATAACATCAGAGGCTTCACGATATCGTGTTAGCCTCGTGTCAATATACTCATTGCCCCATGTGGAGACCTTAAACAATCACGATACTAATTTAGTTAGATAAAAATAATTCATTATAGTACTAATTCAAAAATAGAGATTACTTTTCTAGAAATTACATAAAACAACTCTATACTAAAAATTTTTAGTATTTGAAATACAACAACGATCATTTATCAAATAAATAACTCATCATTTTAGATTTTAAAAATTTTCTTAGGGCAATTTAAGCTCTGTTAATACTGAATAAAGAACTATCAATATTATATGAGAATTGCCTTTCATCTTTCCTGGAAAGAAAATCCTACACGCAGTTTGTGACAACTATAAACAATTTACTCAGCTATTTGTTATATCTCAGTTCAACATAATGTGTTTCAGAGTAAAGCCGAATTGACTACGTTGTTGATACCTATAGAACTGGTGAGAATAATAATGATGCTAGAGTTAGTAGAGACAAATGTTTCTTCATTTAGCGTGTAAATTTCAAGATGATGCTTTGGAAGTGAATCCCGAATTAGTTAATGCACCTATTACGATGTAAGTGTTACCAACTAATATACCGACCTAAATTAAATAAAAAATTGGACGAATCTATAACTTAACAATTCTATGCTAATTTAGAGATGAACGGATAAATTATTAATGATACCAACATTTTACTCAATTTCGTTAGTAAATTTTCTTTTTTTTTTTACATAGTTAATTATCTAATAATTATGTAAGTAGGATCATGATTGCATAATTTTGTCATTAAGCATTGTATCACGTAAATGCGATTATATATGTGTAAAGATAGGCGAATTTATATTAATTAATGAATTTCACGTGTTTTATCTACAAAAATTTACCCAATCAGTCAAATTTCTTATGGCATGTGTGCAGATCTGATTGGTGCATATGCATTGATCTTTTACTCTTTAATGAGATAGATTTTAATTGGACAATTTGAAATAGTTTTACATTATGTAGTTCTTTTTAAAACATACTTTGATTGCCATAAAATTGAACCAAACACCACTACATAGCTAATAAGTTATTATATAATTAGTAAAGATTTTTGATTATAATAAGATAAGTGTGAGAAAGTTAAATGAAATTGTACTTAGTACGTACCTGATCCGATTAGGATTCGAAGCACGGGGCATGGGCACGGGCATGCCCTTTAGGTATGTCTTTCGGGTGTATGCTTTAATTCAGGTCATGCCCGTAGAAGTATGCTTAATTTTTTATCCGTGCAGAACCATATTTCCTTTTATATCGATTTATCTTGTCGCTCATTCTAACTGATATTCCTGATATTCCTTGTAACGTGGTCCTCCGCCCATTTGGTCGAAATTGCTATACATATTTTCAAAGTTTAGCAAACTTTCGCATAAGCTATAACATGTTGGGAGGACAATGTACAACGTAACTCCAATTAAAGTTAATAATAAATTGCATCGTGTTGCAATACAATATTGAAAAACGTCGTGAAACAATGCAATAGAATAATTTTCGTCAATAATAGTTTCAGTCGTTGTTTTGAGTTGCGTGAATTAAATAATATAAAGTTTTTTCAAAAAGTATAATATTTTTCTTATATCAGAGACATCGTACGTACTTGCGTTAATATACATACCGGCTTTGTACAAACTGGGTTGACAACATAAATTAGTTATAATTTTGAAATTAGCCGATTGGCTAGACCGTAACAGATAGTAAACATAATTATTTTGAAGATTTCAAGATCATTAAAATTATTTTACAGACGATCGGTAAAAAAAAATCGAGGAAATTTATTCTAACATAATATTTTTTCATAATTTTATTGAAGCTTAAATTCTTTTTACATCTTAACAATGCAAAAAATAATATGTAAATAAGCTACAAGTTATATTAATTTTGTAGTCTATACTAATTTATGAGAAATTCCAAAACCCAAAAATTTATAACCATACATATTATTTCCCCAATATCAATATACTGTAACTTATATGCTTTTTTCACTAATTACTTTCATCATTCGTACTTTTAGTAGCTAAAATAATATAATGATCTTGATATGAATGATAATTGTCTAATTCTTCGAAATATATTACATTTAATAAACGATCCAACTCCTCATCTGAGATATTTACAAGTGATGTAATTAATGATTTAAGAGATTTGTTCATTTGAAGCATATTTGAAGTCCATATTTCACCAATTTTACCAATATTTTTATCCCATCTGTAAATATATATAATTGATTAGTTAGATTTAGCACCGATAAATTGAAAAAAATATTTTAAAAAAACTTTTTTAAAACTTACTTTCCGAGAGATACACTTCTATGAATGCAATTTACATTTTGAAATCCTACATCTTTGATAATTTGTTCTAATTTTGGAAGAAATAAGAGATCGATTTGCTTTTTTTTGTATAATGATTCATCTAAAATTAAATACGAGCGTATGAAAGTTTTAAAGCTTATTAAAATGTTAAATAAATTTTATAAAAATGGTAAAAAGTTTCAATACATACAACATTGTTTTACTAATTTAGCATAAACCGGGCCAATTGATCGTGCTAATTATTAATAATAATAAAAAAAAAAATTTCATTACAATTTATGTCATTTCAAAATTTATTTAACGTTGGCAGATTTAATACTTACGAATTAAATCAAAATCCACAAATTCAATAACACCACCAGGTTTCAATATTCTCATTATTTCATTCAACAGTGGTACCCATTGATGATTTCTTAATGCTAAAAACATATGTCTCATAAAAATATAATCGAATTCATTATTTTCGAAAGGTAAGCCATTCGATATATTACATTCTTGAAAGTAACAGTTGGATGGTTTTATTTCACTGGGAAATGATGATATTATATCTATGCCATAAACTTCTGCGTCAGGGAATTCTTGTGCAATTTCAAAGCTAGTTAATATAACATTTAAAATTTAGTAAGCATTCAATAAGTGTTGAATGATAATATTCAGTATAGTATTTACCACCAATGACCAGAACCGCATCCAATGTCCTACAGATAAAAAAAAAAAAAAATTTAAAATTTATTCATAGTGAATACTAAAATTTTTAAATACTGTACTGTACATACTAAAATTTTACTTTCTGGTTTAATAATATCAGGAAGTGGTGCAGAGTAATTGCCACCAAGCAAATGTTTTAACGCGAAGTGGCAAGTTTGAACTCTATCAGCTTCTTCCCAGTCAGCAGGAAACTTTTTTAACAGATATAAATTACTATAAATTTTATAAATTTGAAACCAAATTAATTAATAATTTAATTAATAACTTACAAGATATATAGAAGCCTCTTCGTCTAAATAAGGACGACCACCAAGAAATTTTAAATTTGATACAGTTTTAATATTGCAACTATTAATACTATCATTACGATCTGGTGAGATACTATTTGTTTTCACATGAGAAGAACTGAGTCGAGAAAAACTTGGTTTTCTTCGAAAAGTTTTAACATTATCGTTACGAGATTCAGTGTTTCCCATTATAGTTAGATTAATAAATTAAAATCATTCAGCTATGTTTTGTACGTGTTGTGTGAGGAAATTAATATTTCGTATATGAAGCTATATATAAAATATTTCCGGATTGGTAGTACAACCAATAATAAGAGCAAAATAAAAATATAACGGAAAATTTTTAAGCGGGAAATGTGAATGAAGAGAAGAAAAAATGCAACCTATTTAAATTCATTAATGTAAATAATTTAAATTAAAAATTCATGTTAAAAAAAAAATTTACAAAAATAATTGGTTGAAAAAAAAAAAATCTAAATTTATTGTTTCAATTTTTTTACCGCCATTAATTTCAGAAAAGTTAATTAGGTATTTGTTAATAAAATTGATATTAAACCGTACGACTATTACCAAACATTGCGCCTATATTTACGGGGTTTAGTTGGATCCTCAAGTTTTCGGAAATAATACCAGTCAGTAAGAAAAAGAATTCTTAATAAAGTTCTTAATAAAGTATTTTCTAGTACATAAATCTCAAAACTTTTTTGGTCATTACAACGATAAAGAACAAGTTAATCTATTGCAGTATTTGCGTATTTGCAGTATTTGCAGTATTATGAATCAAATTATCAGATTCGATAAAATTTTTTCTTAAAGAACTTTTTAATATAAAAATTATTACAAATCTTAATATGTAAAAGGAAAATTTGGAAATTTTGAACGATAAAAAATATGACTATAAAGAAAGATCTAAGTTTTACATAATAAAAATAAATAAATATGCACATTGTAGACTATGATTCGGTTGCAAATCAACCTAGTTTAGGGAATAATATAGATAAGAATATAGTTAGTGACTAATCATCTGATTTTGTACCATATTAGCATCAATTGTCTAAATGGTAAATTATTTGTTTATTTGTACAGTACGTATTTATACAGTATTTATATAGTATATATTTATATAATATTTGTACTGTACAGTGTTAAAACTTAAATATCTCCTATTCGTAGGTAAAAATACTTTCCAGCTTTTTCACAAATAGAAAGTTAATTTGCCTTTAATTAAAGTGCGTAAAATTAATTTACAGTATTCGCAAAAGACTAGGTCGCTGCAATTCGGTAATTTATTCATTTCGATTTTAATTATTTTTATCTGATTCTACGATAGTGTGTTTTTTTTACGCTACTCTGACACTCTTTACATTTAGTATATACCTAGGAAAGTCATACTATTTGCCGGTAATAGAACACTAATCTAGAAAAGTATTATTGCCAAACCGCATATTTACTAACCTTTCTTTTTTTATGGGTTACAAATAACTTAAATTACTTGAAATTCGAAAAAATCAACAGCACAATAAAAATGAATAGATAATATTAATTTCTTAATAGGAAAGCTGCTTGTTTATTGGTTAAAAGGGTGGTATTACAATTACCAAACTTTTTTTTATCGAAATTGTTTCACGGTGTAATAATTGGTAATTATTGGTCATCCTGCATTTAATCAACAAAAAAAAAAAAACTTTCTGAAAACTTTAATGCTTAAAAATAAACAGATTAACAGCAGATAATAGATAGTAGATAGCGTGGTTGTTTTTTGTCACACAACTGTAAATTTTATCAATTTCAATCTTTAGTAGGCTACCACAGATCGACTTAAATTTTCTGTCGACTAATGACATCAATTTTCTGTTATTTATTTGAAAATTTTTTTATTATCACAATAATGTCAGTGTTTTTGTTTTCTTATTACAGTATAACGTATAACAAGGAAGTTGTATCAAACAATGACTTTCTAGAGCTGATGACGAGATTGTATTAAAATAGTGACTTACTAGACATATACACGTGTTCTATAATATAGAAGGTATATACTGTGTATTGATAGAAAATTGATTTGTTTTCCTGAAAACTTGATACTTTTCTGGTGTTGCAATTATGTTTCAAGATATAAAAAAATTGATGTAAATGTGATTTTTGGAAAGAACTAACATAAAAATTAATGTAAATGTGATTTTTGGAAAGAACGAGCATAAAAATCTATATTCATAGTAATGTTTCTCCTAGCGCAAAGACATTGTTCCCGACACATCTAGCTCGTTTATTTATTAATCTACAGTACACTAAAAAAAACTATATATTATTATGATTATACGAGATATACTGCGTAAAAGTCATAAATGACATGGAGAAAACTAATAAAATTAATAATAGAACTTTATAAAAGTAATAAAGTTTAATTTTGCAAATAAAATTTTTTATCCGACATCTCACTATGATAGTGCTTACTAAATAACCTTTTATTAACTATATTTGTTTTAATAGTAAAATTATAAAATTAATTTTCTAGTTAATGGTAATAAATTTTTGATAATAATGGTTTTACTAATTATTTTTGTTCTGTTTTACATATAAATTTTACAAAATTTTGTTAACTGCTAAATGTTGGGGGTTTTTTTTAAATAAAATAATAAAATGATAAATTTATATTGAAGAAACTTAAAATATATATAATGTCTAAAAAAAGTTTATTAAATTTAATTTGATAGTTGTTAAGATATTTTAACTTAAACTTTAGAACTTTTACTTAGAAAATATTTATTTATTTCTATTGAGCCTCCACATATAAGGCCAAACAACGCTAATTTTTTTGGTTCTCATAACATCTAATTTCGATATTAACCCACCAACCCGAAGTTTCTTATAAAAAAAAAAATCTTTTTAATTAAAAATTTTTTTAAAATGATAATTCGAGTCCCAGTAAAAAAAAAAAATATTTCCGACAAAATAAAATACTTCACACAATACGTAGTTCTCAAATGTTCACTTTTTATACTTATCATTATTATTATTACAAAAATTTTCTCATGTAGAAAGTTATTGAAATTTTTTATCACATTTAAAAATTATAGTATTGTATCTACGTATATATAACTTATAAATACATAAATACATATATCTAATATTGATCTCACTTTAAGCCTATTGAGAAATTTTTGTAATTAATATAATATTTGTTCTTTATACTAACAATTTAAGATAAAGCTTAATAATAAATATCATGAAAAAATATAAGTATTCTTAAATATTTATATCACATGATAAATTAAAATTATAGATTTGACGATCAAGTCCCGTGAATCTTGTGATTACAATACTTCAACTTCATTATATTTCGTGGAACTCATTTTAATTATTTTTGTATTTCTCTTTTATTAATAAATAAATAAGTTTCACAACATATAACGAATGTAAGTTGACTATCTATGTTGTATTCATGGCTCAAAATAATTATAAAGATCTTCAATCTAACTAAATCGAAAAGAACGATAACGATAATATTTATGAACGTATCAAATTCTTAATGTTACACAAAATTTGGGTTTGTTCTATCATCGATATCTCGTGATTTTGTGATTGGATTTCGATAAATCTCATCACGATGATATCAATGATCAAATTTCGCGTAAAATTGTGAATTTAGTTGACAAATTATGTCATTTATATATACTTTACTCAATATAATTAAATTACCAAAATTTTATAAACTCAAAATATTTTACAGTATTTAGATTAATCAATGTTCTTTATACTGTATTTACGAACTAATTGACATGAATAAAATGATTTAAGGTGTTAAGTCTATGTGAACTTGGATAGTTTAATATTCTTTATACCGCTAAAATTAAAATGTATTTGTTGCACCCTGTAACATCAAATTTTGTCACGGGTCACTGATTTACGTACGTAGATCAATACACCAATCAAATTAAAAATTATATACTTTGAGCGATGGTATCTTGACGACCACTAAGTTAATTTTAATGAACGTTTTTTTATTTGAATTCTACAGATTTGTAGAATTTAAATAAAATAAAGTTCATCAAATTTGGTTCGGTGGGTGTCGAGATATCATCGCTCAAAGTTTGAGAAAAAGTTTGCCGCAGCTCTTCTTTATGATAGATGGCTTGTTTTTTAAAACGTTGAGTGATGATAGCTCGACAACTACCAATCCAAATTCAATGAACGTTTTTTTATTTGAATTCTACAGACATGTAGAATTTAAATAAAAAAATGTTCATCGAAATTGGCTTGGTGGGTGTCGAGAAATATCTGCTAAAAGTTTAAGAAAAAGTTTGCCGCAGCTCTTCTTTATGATAGACGTTTTGTTTTTTAGAAATTTGAGTGATGATAGCTCAACAACTACCAAGCCAAATTCAATGAACATTTTTTTATTTGAATTCTACAGAACTGTAGAATTTAAATAAAAAATTGTTCATTGAATTTGGCTTGGTAGTTGTTGAGCTATCATCACTCAAATTTCTAAAAAAACAAAACGTCTATCATAAAGAAGAGCTGCGGCAAACTTTTTCTTAAACTTTGTGCGAAGATAGCTCGACACTCACCAAGCCAATTTCTATGAACATTTTTTTATTTAAATTCTACAGATCTGTAGAATTCAAATAAAAAAATGTTCATTGAATTTGGCTTGGTAGTTGTTGAGCTTCATCACTCAACGTTTTAAAAAAGCAAAACATCTATCATAAAGAAGAGCTGCGGCAAACTTTTTCTTAAACTTTTAGCAGATATATCTCGACACCCACCAAGCCAATTTCGATGAACATTTTTATTTAAGTTCTACATGTCTGTAGAATTCAAATAAAAAAAACATTCATTGAATTTGGATTGGTAGTTGTTGAGCTATCATCACTCAATGTTTTAAAAAACAAAACTTTTTTTCAAACTTTGAGTAATGATATCTTGACACCCACCAAGCCAAATTTGATGAACTTTTTTTTATTTAAATTCTACAAAACTGTAGAATTCAAATAAAAAAACATTCATTAAAATTAACTTAGTGGTCGTCAAAATACCATTGCTCAAAGTATATAATTTTTAATCTGATTGGGTATTAATCTATGTAAATCAGCCAATCACTGTGACTCATACAAAATTTGATGCAACAAATACATTTTTTCTATTAATTGCTTTTTTTATATTCATGCTCCAAATTAATATTAATATTTAAATTGTTAAAATTGAATACAAATATTTATTAAACTAATATATATATATATATATATTGAATTATTATAAAACGCACCTATAGTGTTTTAGCACCTATATATAATTGCTTCTAGTAAAATTTAGGGTTAGGGTTAGAAAATTAAGAATTTTTTTTTTATATATAATATAATATAGAGCTAATATAAGGGCCCGATCTTAGTTCTCATGAGGTTTTTGGGGGTCCTGAACATTTTTACTTAGAGAACCCGATCCTGTTTACTTAGTACATTTTTGAGAAATGAAACCTATGGTGTAAAACACCATAGGTGCATTTTAGTAAAAGTCTTATAATAATATATTTAAGATAATTTAATATTTTAAATAACTCTAATATAATTTATTTATAGGATGTGATTAAAGTGTTTCTAAAGAAGTTCTAACTAAAGCGATTTATCCTGATAATGAGCTAATCAGGATGGAATTAGATAGATATATCAGGAGTAATTATAAAGAAGATTACAAGAAAATATGCCAAATCAATGAAATGCCTATTATACTAGAAATATCAATGGACCAGTAAAACCTTTTTATTTAATTTATATGTTTTTATGTTTCAAAATGTTTTGAAATATTTAAAATTATTTTAAAACATTTCAAATTATTCTAAATATTTTAATTTACTAATTATAATACTTTTAGCTTTTGAAACAAATTAGATCTTTGTGAGGTTCACTAACAAGCAATATAAAGAAATATACATTTTTTGTTTTTGGGAGTCTTTTAGATCCCATAAATAATTTGGCTTCATCAGATGAGATTCGAATTTGGAAGTGCTCGAAAAAGACTGAAGATTGTTATAAGATGATATATACCCCGAAATTGATCGAATAGTATTTGATAAATTCAAATAGATTAGCAATTATTATTCATAAGTAGCTATCTTTTAGATTATAAATATTTTGCTGTTTTGATGTATTTACATCTATTTTGAATTGTTTCAAATTAATTTGAAATATTGCGCAATATGTAGCATAATATTGTGCTATTAAGTTTCATAATTTTGCGTAATATATTTCATAATATTACGCTATATATTGTACAATTTATTGTACAATATTATGCCCAGACTGTAATTATTGCACAATATTTCAGAGTGTAATAACTTGCGTAAGTTTACGTTAATATATTTCGCTAATGTATGTTTGTAATCATAATAACTCAGAGTACTAATAAACAGTTAAGGCAAGACTGCCAAATTAAATATATATATATATATAGAAGTTTTTAATAAAAAACATAAAATCTGCTAAAGGCTCAATTCTAGTAGGCAAGTTATTATTAATCTCAAAATAGTACTATATAAGTACAAAATAATGCTTATATATATAAATTATTATTTTTAATTATCTAGATAATTTATTTTGAAATTTGTTTTAATTTCCAGATCTAATTTTTTTTCAAAATAATAATAGTAGCACTGTGATATATGTGTTGATGAAGATAAGAAGAATATTCAAATATGGATATATATTATGATATATCTATAAATATATTGTATACTTGAATAAATTAATTACATGCTCAATTAAATTTAATAAGCAATATTTCTCTTTCTCGTAAGCTAGTGATATTTGGATTCAGGAGATTAGACTTATATAATAAGCATATAGAAAGATCAACCATTTCAGGATAGTTTAATATTCTGTAATGAAGATGTGCTAATTATGAGTACAACAAATTAACTATTTGACTTGAATAATACTGTTTTAAGAAGAATGCCAAGTAGAATATTAGTTATTAATAAATATAGCAAAAAAAATTAAAGTACAGTTTAGAATGTAGTTCGAAATAGTATTTTTTTTTATTAGGCAAGCAAAACTAGTGAAAATAAAATCTTGCAACTTCACTCACCAATTGCTTAGGTCACCGAACTTTTTAAAATCTTTGCTTCTCATCTAGATCTTGAAACTACTGTATCCCAAGTTAAAAACCAGTAAAACTCAAGGTAAAATACTAACGACTCAAGTTGATTTCTACATTACGTATTACAAAAAAAAATATGACGCTTTTTACTTATAAAAGTACTTTAAAAATTACAGTTAACTGTATAAAAAAAAAGATCGCCGCCAAACACATTTAGTTTAATTATAGCCAATCAAAACGAACTTCCGCTATGCTTTTAACCACATACAGAATTTAGCTTTAACTACCACTGTCCCTGTCCTAGCCATGGCGAAAAAAACTCGGGTCACATGATCATAATATTGAAGATCAGATCCCGATCTACATTTTCAAATCTAATTCTGGTCAAATTTGCAGATTGTTTGGCCTATTGGGGATGAGTTTAAAACTGACCAGAATTAGATTGTTTTGAAAATGTAGATTGGTCATACGAAATTTTGAAAGACTTTCAAGATTATAGCGAAGACTTCACTGTAACTGATTTAATAAACCCAGTAAATTTTTTTAAATGTATAATTAAAATAAAAAAAATTTATCGAAATTTGATAGATGGTTGTTGAGAAATTTTCATTAAAAATTTAAATTAACTTTCGAATTTTCAAAAAAATCGGTAACTTTTTTTTTTTAACTTTAAACGAAGATCTCTCAACAACCATTGATTTAAATTCGATGAAATTTTTTTTATTTTAGTTCTGTAAGTTTATAGAATTAGATTGGCAAATTATGATTATTTATTATTATTAAAACTTTGTATTGCAAATCATTGACAAAAAATGCTCGATTGTTAGATAAAGCATGCTTGTCTTTTAGTATCTTACAATAAAACACCTTAACTGTCGCACCAACTTATATTCTCAATTTTAATTAGCTAAATGTCGTGGTCTACAAAATTTTGACCCGCATTATACAATTGTTACGTAATGTTTGGCCAGAATTAACTTTCTAACTTTTTTATTACAAAAATAGAAATTTTTAGGGAAATAGGCTTCCACTATGGTAAAACTAGTTCAGGAACATTTTTCACTTAATGGGCAGATGTGATTTCATTGACTAGATTTTTGATCGCCAAATCAAGAATCTGCTGTGACGAACAGCTAGGGTATTTTCTTGCAATAATTATGTAATCTGTGCATTTCGTGCCGAATTAAAGCAAAAATTATGATTTATCAGCCAGGCAATAGCCGGTCAGCTAAGCCGATCTAGTCGACTACCATCGACTATGGCTATAGCCGGTCAGCTAGCCGGCTATAACCTAACCGAACCCATCCCTAAGTGAAACCTCTCAAAGTGCATACCCTATAATTGCACACTCTTTCTAAATGCATACACAAATTCTGGCCCAAATGTATACATACCTCCATAATGCTCTTTTTCTTATTGTTCTCTAAGTACACATCGTTAAATTCTGGTCTCGAATGCGTGCACTTAGAGAGGTTTCACTGTATTGTGTCGCACATCAATACATAGCAAAATAAATCAAAAATCTAATCTCTGTTGATATTATAAAATCAATAAGACTTGTTAACTATTTATATAAATAATTACTACTAAAACACGACAAAGATTAGATGAATTACCTTTTTCTCATACGGCTAATTGAATTAATTATAAACTATCTGTTTTCTTTATCGTCATTCAAATTTAACCATTATCCTTCCGTTCCTGGTTTACGTCGCGCAGCTAAATAGACAAAAAATATCGGATGTACAATTCAGTTCAGTATATCTATAATGATATCAGACGCTATAATGAAACTTGTAAATCTTCATATTTCATGACTATCGTCATGCTATGGGTCACTTACAAGTATAAAAAAAATTTTTTTAGAGTATCGTACTGACGAGTATAAATGAGTATACTCTACAGTATAAATATATACTATACTCAATAAACATATATCCACTGACAAAAATGTATGCGGAATCTTAATAGATAAATATAATTTTGTATAATATTTCTTAGCAGAATAGTCAGATTTCTTAGCCAATATTACTATTATAAATAAACAAAAATATTGATTTCATGAGCCATGGTAAATAAATATATACTATACTCAATAAACATATATCCACTGACAAAAATGTATGCGGAATCTTAATAGATAAATATAATATTTCTTAGCAGAATAGTCAAATCAAATGTCCGTTGACCTGATTTCTTAGCCAATATTACTATTATAAATAAACAAAAATATTGATTTCATGAGCCATGGTAAATAAATATTCCTCAAGCACTTTAAGCCACACAAGATATTTAAATTAAACAAATTTTGCTTGATACTGTTCAACCTATTAATGGTTAATAACTGACCGTTGGTGTTAAAAAGTACAATATAATAAAATAAGTAATATATGTCTGCATCAACTAGTCAAGGTGGAGATCACATTGTCGAAGTCGAAAATAAAAAATATGAATCTTTCATAGAAGAAAATATTCCGAAAGGAACTGTCAAGTATATTGCAATTAGTCCGGAAGGAGACTTTTTGGTTGAATTTATAGTAATAAAGCTTGGTAAATGCATTGCGAGATAATTGTTTAATTAAATGATTGTGCTGTCAATAACCGCTTAAAATCTTTCAGATTCTTCAGATTCTCTAAAATTCGAATTAAAGATGTATGATATTAAATATTTTAAGAATGAAGGTGGCTCAACGTCAAAGAAAGATTCGAAACATGAGAATATATCAGAGGAATATTCGAAACATGAGGATGCATCAGGTAAAGATTCGAAGCATGAAGCTGATTCGGATGGCGCAAATGACTCAAACCGAGGAGAGGAATCATCGTACAGGAAATTATCCAGTATTCGCACCGAAACCAAATTGCCCTTTACTAAAACACAATTAAGTTTTATCAATTTGATCAAGAATGATCCTAAACCTATATTTAGGTGGTCCGTTGCTGTGTCAGATAAATCAATCAGCTCATCGGAATTTAGATTATTGGCAATATCTTGTATTAGTCTTAAAGACATGGAATATTGTAAGGAACTTTATACGCGTAACAAACTAAATCCTACGGAAATTCAAAAAATAAAAAATAATGGATTCACCTTAATTTTCATAATTAATAATGATTATTCAATTAGTAATATTGGTGATAAGGAATCACTAATTGAACATGGTGGAATAGTCAAATTGTTTTATGAAAAGAATTCTATAGCAGATCAAAAAGAAAAAGATACGAAAACAGTCAAAAGTAGTCAAAATATTGATGATCACTTTCTTATTCTCTTGACACTTTCAGGGATCTATAAGTATCATATTGAGAATAAATCTACTTCTAACATTCAAAAGTTAAAATATCCGACAAGAATATATGAATCCTTTATTAACAATATGTCAAATATGTCCCTTTTTGATATGTCTGGTCCAACGGATGAAATAATCAATAAATTATACAATGAAGAATACAATGAAATATATAATAATATATGCTCATATATTCAGTTATGCATAAATAAGCATTATTTTTTAGTCGATACTATGAAAGAAGACATCAAATACATAGAACTTTATGATTTAAAGACAAACCAATTAGTAAATACCTTTCAGAGGCAGACTTTATCGTTATTTAAATCAATGGTATATGAACATCCTATTCATTACGCCATATCAAACAATGGCAAATTATTGGCATATTTGTCATATTCAATTAAAGGAATCAAAATATATTCGATCGAAAGTGGCTTAGAAATAGCAGAGCTTGCAAAGATTTTAAATGAAGATATAGATCTATATATAAATAATATATTTATTTATTTTTTTCACAATGACGAGAAGTTACTTATATATGTTTCAGGGAGATTGGGGGTTTCGGAGGTATGGGCTGCTTGGGATATTTTTGGTTCATTACGAGATTTTGTTAAATTAGAAAAGCAAGAATTTATGTTGCAATTTCCAAGTGATATAAAAAATATAGCAGAATCAAATTCATGCATAGTCGCTTATAATAGATATGAAGATCGTGATAAATTGTTTATTTATGATGAACTGATCGTAGATAAATATTTCAGTTTAAAGAAAAGTGATAAACAAGTTTGGATTACCCGAGAACTTGATAAAGAACCAAAAACATTAGGATTAGATAAAGAATATGAACCTTGGTTACCTTGGATACGAGGATGGATGAGATTTGATGATATTCAATATTCGTTCTATCTTGATGAAAAGGAGGAAATGTTACTTATAATCGGAATCCAGACAGTCCAACTTTGGCATAGAAGAACTCTTAAATACATTCATTCTCCCTACCCCTTTTCTGGTGTACCTGATATTAAAGAGCTTTTTTTAATAGAATGGGATCCTAAAGTAATTGAAGTGTTAGACATCAAATATTGTACTGAAAAATTGAAGGTTGACATTCAAATTAAAGATGATAAAGATCCTCATCGAATTAAACAAATTAAAATGGAAGGTGACGATATTATGAACATAGCAAAGCATGCTTGCTATGCACTCGAATTTTATTTTGCTCACAAGAAAAAGCTAGACATATATTATGATGAGACATACAAATCAAGTTTTGATGATTTCATCGAACAAACGCGAAAAATAATTTTGAAATTTATTAGCCTGCATCCAACTGAATGGCGATTGTTAGATATTCGCTTTGACTTAATGAGTACTCTGATTAGAGCGGGGGAATGTGAACTTGTATATTATATTTTATCTTTTAGAGAACCGATTCATATACCGCAATATTTTCCTTGGCCAGGTGAAAAAAATACGATTAATACGATTCGTACTGCTTTTTTGGGTTAGTTTACTTAAAACTATGTGGACTACTTGTAAATGACTATGTGTGTTATATAAACATTAACATTTCACTTGCCTATTAGAAGATAATACTATGACTATGCTGGCATGCTTTTTAGAATATTATTCTAATAATGCAGTTCATAATATTGGATGGATGAATACAGTTATAGACATCATACCGGATCTATTAAAAGGCGAAAAAGGTAATAATTTTATGAAAAGTGAAACAGATTTAAAATCTGGTTGGCTGTGAATTTTGGTATATTAACACATAATTAATTTTATAAATTTTAAAAATATTAACCTTATACAATAGAATATTACAAATATTATGTAGAAAAACTATTTTATAGTCCCTGCTTTTGTGACAAGGAATTGGATTTATTCTCTTTTAAAATTCTTGAAGTTTCTCCCAAGTCAAATGAACTATTAAAAGTTTTCATACCTATAACACAATTAATTCCACAAAATTCCAAGTTGAATCTTCAAGAAATCGAGTATGTAATAATTAATTTCTGATTTTAAAATGTTTAAATTATTGCATTCTATTATAATTAATTTAATTTTCTTAAAATTTGAATAGTTTTGATAAAGTCACCAACCTTCGAATGGTACCTTTAGCAGATTTTACAATGAACAAAAAAATTCCAGATATTAAAAAAGGAAAACTTAGAAAATTTCTAGAGATTTTATTTTCTCCTAGTAAATATTTATCTCCTGATGAGGTGGTTTCAGTCCTTTTATTAAGCTCATAGAAACATGTGAACGTGATATTTTATTTGAAAATCCTTCAATAGATGCTGTTTTAAATTGGATGTGGTATTCTTCTAAATTCTATTGGCCTAGAACCTTGTATATGTTTTTATTGTTATTTTTAACCTATTCATTTGTTTCTTGGGCATATATTGCCCATATTCAAATAACTAGTGCACTTCAGCACATTTTTATGATTGCAACAATTGTACTATTTTATTATTTATCATATTATCACATAGTTGTTGAATTTAAACAGTTTTACTATTTCTACAATTATATAGGAAAACAATATTTTTTAGACCCTTTTAATCTGGCAGATTTTATATCACTTTTTACAGCGATATTTATCTTTAGTTATATTCTGATTTGTTATTATTCATTTGAGAATGGATTTAAAATTGCTGAAAGTAGCCAAATATTTACATTTATTATTTTCTTAAGTATTTTAGTTCTTTGGTACGAATTTGTAAGTATATATTTATCTGTGAATAGAAATTTTTTATTGTATTCATTTATTTCACCTCTGTCAGATTTTACGACTTCGTATTTTCGAAGGTATATATAGTACATTGCCAATAATTCTTTTTATTAATAGTTATCTAAGCTTATATTTAAACATTTATATTTTTAAATATAGACTTTGCGCAGAATCTCAATATACTCTTTAATATTATTGTTGCTCTACGACAATTTTTATTGTTTTTTATGCTAATAATCATTGCAATGGTAAGAACATTAATATCATCAGATCCTATATAAGCTTTTCTAATTGTTATTCATACTAAAAACACTTTAACTATAATACTGCATTATCAGGGACATGCATTGTGAGTTGTATATATTTATTTTTCTATGATCCTTGTTAAGTTAAAATTTTAACATACGAAAATAATCATGCATATAGATATATTCTTCTTGGCTATTCATCTTATATTGGATTAAATCAGACTGTTGAAGAACAAGTTAATCCATTTTCAAGCATTATTAGTGCTATACTTGCAGTGTATGATTGGTCTTCAATTTCATTTGATGCTTGGAATTTCTGGCCAATTACTATAATTAGTGTAATTGGCAGTTTTATTTTTGTAATTATATTACAAAATGTAATAATTTCATTCATGAGGTATGTTCTTTATCATATAATTATTATTATTATTAAGTATTATTATTATTTCTCACAGAATATAATTTTTTAAAAACAAAAGTGACGCCTTTTCTGATGCTGTTAAAGATAGTAAAAATGGGTTATATTCTTATCAAATTGACTTAATTCATGAATTTGCTTATCTTGAAAAGTCATTGGAATTTAATAATCTAGATTCCAAATTTAAAGATAAAATAAGAGCAAAGTATATCTGTTTTTATGATGATCCTCGTATTACAAAACGTTGGAAAAAAACATCTAAACAAATGAAATCAAAACCATATACTAAAATTCAATCATTATATAAGAAAGAATATGAATTATGGTCCATTGAAGATATTTACTCTCTTTTTTATTAGTAAATTCGATTTAAATAAAAAAATTTTAATTTTTTTTTTATATTTATATATTAAGCTTTGTATTAACAAATTTATTTAGAAAACGAATAAAATTGTTTTTATAAAATTTAAAAGATATTGGTAATTTTTTATTTTTATTTAAGGGAATTTACAAATCATCGGGATCCAAATTTGAAAACAATTATGAATACAGCTATCAATTTTTTATTCGTAATAAGCATTTATGCTATTTATTTAATATATATATATTAAATATGAAAAAATCATTATATTGAATTAGCGAAACATTTTGATGTAATTTTTAGATATAGTATAAAGACCGCATTTATATGAATGCAATTTTTCATTAAACATTGTAAATTAATTTTTTTTCTGCCTACGTCTTCAATTACAAGTTCGTATATTATAGCCTTTTTTACCGCATTTTTTGCAAGTATTTTGGTCTTCTGATGCAAGTAAATGTCATCCTAATTTTGTATAACGATAATATTTACAATCGAAGATGAAAATGATTTTATAAGCAAATTGTGAGAAAATTGAGACGAAAGAATTTACTAATAGATATGTGTATTTTATACTCATATATTGAATATATTACTAATTTACATTTGTTAATATGTAGTAGGGTGGGGAACGGGTAGCCCGTTGGGCCCGTACGGGCTTTTTTTGGAAATTAATTTGGGCCATTTTGTCAAAACACTAGTCACATGATGATTTATCATGTGACTAGAATTTTGGGGATGGCCCAAATTAATTTCCGTACGGGCCCAACGGGCTACCCGTTCCCCACCCTAATATGTAGTAACGATGAAATTTCATATGCACCGAAAGTAAAATTTTGAGTTATGTACGTACGTATGTATAAGTTAAATTATAATTCGCATTCATACAACGCAAAATTACTTATAATATTTTCAAAAATAAGGCATTTATAAATAATTATAATTAAAATCAGGTGACTTGTAGATAAATAATTATTATAATTAAAATCAGGTGACTTGTAGAATTTAAAAAATGATATCTTCAAAACGCAAATTATTGAAAAATTTTTTTAGAAGACTTATCAATTCGAAAAATTGCAAAACACTTAAGTGTTAGCAGGTCATCTATAAATCGGGTTCTTGTGCATTTCAAAGATACGGCTGTATTGAAAACTTACATCGTTTTCAGGAAAAACACGTTCTCAAATATGTGTGAAATATTAATATTATGAAGTACCATGTCGGCGGATTTGTGATAACTCTGGTCAAATTTGCAGATCATTTGACCAGCTTTGAAGTCAAATAATTTCAAACCAGGTCAAACGATCTGCAAATTTGACCAGAGTTACAGCTCATGAGTTTTTCTATTTATCAAATTCCACAAATCCGCCGATATGCGTATATGGTTTACTATGGCAAAATCTCGTAACTGATTGGACAATGCATTAAATGCAATGAAACGTGAAATTCTGCACTTAAACTTCACGATATTGTATCACATAGCACTATATTTTATCGGTTTAACCATAACGAACGTTCAACTTGTATTTTTTATTGCTTTAACAGGTTTTGTCTCAAGTAAAGTGAATGACTTTTTTTTTTATTATTATCCTTCGGAATTGAACTAACCAAATACGGATTTACTGTCAACTGTGTCTTCAGAGCCGTTAACGGGCTTATTCCGAAGCCGATTTTAGCTGCAACTGAATGGGCTTTTTAAAGTTATAGCACCAGATTAGGCCATAGCGATAGTTATTGAAGTCACGACTTGAATAATGTTCATGGCTAGAGCATGACTTGAGCCATGACTCAAACTGTGGTATATTACTGTACCGATACGTAGCTACAGTAATAATGATTTTAAGGCAATATAGTATTTAAAGAAGCCATACAAGTATTAACATCACAAAACTCTAAGTCATATAATGTCAGGTTTTCACATGATATATATATTTTTATTTAATCATTTGAACATTATCAATCAATATATTAATTAATTTCTCGTATAAATTTTATTCGTATTGATTTAAAATTCTCTCAAGCACATAATTAATAGATCGAAGCTCAATTTCTAATTTGTGGAAAGTAGTTTAACCGATAAGTAGGTTCATTATCTTGATGAAAAAAAGGTTGAACCCATCATAGACTTGTTCTGGTTGACTAAAATTTATTATCCACATTTTGCAATATGAATCTTTAGAAAAATTACAGTAAGGATTGCTTTAATTAATTGTAACACATATGCACGATCTAAGTAGCTAGCTAATCACATTAGTCTCCAGTATTTTACACTCTATACTACTGTACAATATACATATAAAATCTTGTAAATTTTCTTGTTTGTTTAAATTATCGTGTCTTATATCAACATAGTTATGCTGTATTTAGTTGTATACACGATATTTATTTTATATGAATTCAAAACAATATATAACTACTCTATATTGGAGTTGTTTAACATTTTCTAAAATCATCCGTTCCTGGTTTAGCGCGACAATGTTGCGCAGCTACTTAATACATAAATTACATCATAATAAATAACAATCTGATAGATCGTCCCATAATTACAGAGTTACAGAATTCTAACGACACAGCAACGATCGACTTTTTTCTTTTAGAAAAATTTTTTATAACTTTGAGCGAAAATAACTCAGTAACCACTCATCTAAATTCGATAAACTTTTCTATTTGAATCTACAGAACTTGTAAAATAAAAGAAAAAAATTTTCATCGAATTTGGTTGATGTAGTGATAGGGCCTCCTGAATTATTAATAATTAATAATGATCGAATTATTAACTAATAACGACTTAATAATATATGGTACAGCTAATTAGTACAAGATGTATAAAAAAATGAAAAGTTGCGTCAATATTTTCTCAAAAATTGCTGAGATATTGGCGGACTAAACTTTTATTAAATCCGTTGATAGTTTATTTAATTCATCATATTGATATTATTAGCAACGATCGAAGTTATAAACTATTAATAAGATAGCTGCGCAGCACGCGATGCCGCGCAGGACCAGCACGATCATTGAACCTAGGTGCCGCACAAAAAATGCGTGGCAGATCCTCGATTTTGATTGGCTAATATCGACGATCAAATAATTAGGCCGGAATTACCCCTAATTTACTAATGAAATCGCAACAGCCCATTAAGTGAAAATTGTTCCTAGGCCAATTTTACTATAATGTAGGCTTATTTTTTAACAATTTCTATTTTTATAAGGAAAAAATTAAAAAATCAATTCTGGCCAGAAATTAGTAAACAATTATGTAATGCGGGCCAAAATTTTGAAGATCCTCGGCTGTTAGCCAATCAAAATCGAGGATCTGCCACGCATTTTTTTGTGCGGCACCTAGGTTCAATAGCACGATCAGCGATGTAGTGATGATTAAATTTTAGAATATTTTGTTTAATTAACCTATCAATATATAAGATATTTATCTGCACTGATTAACACGAATAAAATGAACTTAGTATACTAGAACAAACATTCTCACTTTTATTACAAAGATTTTATTAAGAAAAATACCCCGATTTTATTATTTTACAAATATTACAATATTGATATTATGTTTTAAAAGAAAAAAGATAAGTTATTTGATTATTTAATATCTTAGATCACTTGTATTAGTGGATTGATTCTTGATAGTAATAACGAAAATACATTACTGATACTAATCAGCCGCTTACGCAGCTGATCAGTATTAGTCATGTATTTCGCTATTTTCATTTAGGATCAATCCACTAATACCTAACAACCCAAGACATTATTATTATGAATTTCCTTGATATCTAAGTTGTTAAGAATGAATTAGGTTAGCTTTTTGTAAAATTATCGTAATTGCAGGTTATTGCAAAAATTCTGTTAAAGAATTTACTTGCTATTCCAGTATGTGGTCAAGTTGGTTTGTATTCAAATTATTGTAATGACTACGGTTAATCACACGTTTTCTTGAAGCACAATTGTTAAAGCGAATCGAATCAAACTTCTTACTTACCTTGGCAATTTATTGAACGATTTAATGATTACTATCAATTAATGTCTTGAAACACAATCGTTGAAGCGATTCGAATTAAACTTCATACTCGTTCTGATAATTTATTTGAATGATTAAATAATTATGGTTAATCGCACGTTCTCTTGAAATACAATCGTTAAAGCGAATCAAATTAAATTTCGTACTTTGGTAATTTATTTGAACGATTGAATGATTATGATTAATCAATGTCTTGAAACACAATCGTTATAGTGAATCAAATTAAATTTTGTACTCGCTCTGGTAATTTATTTGAACAGTTAAATGATTACTGTTAATCATATGTTCTCTTTAAACACAATAGTTAAAGCAAATCGAATTAAACTTTGTACTCACCCTAGTAATTTATTTAAACAATTAAATAATTATGGTTAATCATACATTCTCTTAAAACATGATCGTTAAAGCAAATTGAATTTAACTTAATACACACACTGGTAATTCATTTGAACGATTAAATGATTACAGTTAATCACATGTTCTCTTGAAACACAATCGTTAAGTTAAACTTTGTACTCACCCTGGTAATTTATTGAACGATTAAATAATTATGGTTAATTGCATGTTCTCTTGAAACACAGTCATTAAGGCGAATCTAATTAAACTTCGTACTCACCTTGGTAATTCATTGAATGATTGAATGATTATAGTTAATCAATGTCTTAAAACACAATCATTAAAGCAAATCAAATTAAACTTTGTACTTACCCTAGTAATTTATTTAAACAATTAAATGATTATGGTCAATCATTCATTCTCTTGAAATATAATCGTTAAAGTAAATCGAATTAAACTTCGTTCTCACCCTGGTAATTTATTTGAATGATTGAAATGATTATAGTTAATTACACATTCTCTTGAAATACAATCATTAAGGTGAATCAAATTAAACCTTGTACTCACCCTGGTAATTTATTTGAACAATTAAATAAATAAGGTTAATCACACATTCTTTGAAACACAATTATTAAAGT